ACGCCGACGATGATGAAGCCTCCGGCTTCTTTCTCTTACTTGATATTGCCATGGATCCAAACTTCTCGACCAATTCCTTATCACCCGCACCCCCCCCCCCGCTCACGACGTCCTCGAAGAACCTCCATGCCGTTTTCGCTTGAGCACGCGCCACCTGCAGATCTGCCTCAGCAGCAGCCAATCTCTTCATAGCATCGTCTCTCTCTTCCATCGCCTGACGCAACGCACGTGAGGAATGATCAAATCGCTCCCGCATGTCTTTCGCCACCCGTCTCCATCGTTCTACCTCACGATGTTTCTGCATGTTGTTCACCATGAGGTCGTCACAACACTGTCGCAGACTGTCACGCGACTCCCGCAACCGTTTGAGGACAGAAGAAGCCCATCTCCTCGCGTGGATGTTCTCGAGGGAGATGTCACTTTCGCAAACTGTCCTCCCAGTACGCAGTGTAACAGTGATGCTCTCTCCCCTCTCCACCAAAAACCGGTGCAGGCGTTCCACCTCCTTCTCCGTCTTCTCTATTTCGTTGATCAGCGCACGTCTTTCGTACGCGAAGTCCCTATGACCACCCCCGGCCACCATAGCCCAACCTCACCAGCGACTGTCGGGACCGTTCAAGTGCTCGACGTAGACTCACGACACGACTGCACTCACACAGAGAGTATGCCTACCGACCCTTGTGCACAGAAAAACAGGAGTCAAAAAGGCACATGTCAAGCCTCCCGCCTGGCCTCCCACAAACGGAGGACTTCCGTGCACAATGCGTCCCTCACTGCGTGCCCGCGTTCCCGCCCGAACATGAACTCCAGCGGACAACCATCAACACGCCTATCCACGTTCGGCTGTGGACCGTCCGGAGACGACGCATCGCTCACTTCATCGTCGACGTCTGGCACGTCACCCCACTCCTGAAGCAGGTTATGAAGGATGCAACACGCGCGGAACTCCAACATCTCCCTTGCGATGTCGGTAATATGCGGACGGTAGAAGAATTGGAACCGCATCTTGAACACCCCGAAGAATCTCTCAACACAAGACCTCACTATCTTATGAAGAGCGTCAAACTGTTGCATCGCCCGCGTCACCACGGGTTGTCGCCCGTATGGAATGACAAGCCAAGGCAGGCTGGGATACCCGCCATCACCAAGCAAGTACCCACCGGGCGCACCAGGGATTGAAGGCCGCTCGCCGAGGAAGGGGTCTTCAGGATCGTCCACAAATAGTGACCCCTTAAGGGCTCTCCTGTACAGTGACGTGTTTTTCAAGGCCCACCCGTCGCCCACAGTCCCCGGAAAGCCATAGCAAAAATCTAGGATCTTGAGCTCCAAATTGACGACCAGCTGTGCTACAATCGAGAACCGATTGTGCCTTCCGGAGCAGTAGTCGTCGCCGTCCTTCGATCGGGGCTGGTCTACATACACATGGGTGCAGTCAATGCAACCCCACGCATTTGGAAAACCCAAGGACTGAAACTCGGTCATTCGACGATGGCGCTCTTCGAACCCCCCGAACCCAACAACATTCGGATACGACGCATGAATGGCCTCCGCCACTTCTCTGATGGCGCGCAACCCGGATGTTTTGCCCATCCCATAACCTGAGCAACGGTGCCAGTGAGAGTCACCATGGGCCCATCTATGGAGAGCGTACGCCAATCTCTTTCCTGGAGGCAATGGCACCCTCCACCTTGTCACCTGCTTCTGGAGAAGTGGACCGACCTTGCGCAACAGTCTATTGAACATTGACCGCCGCATGCGCAGCAGTCCTATGTAATGATCGTTCTCTGCATCATCAGCGATCTGAAGATCGTTCCATAGGCCAGCTGTCCGCCGCATCACCCACCATCTAGGCGAACGTCTTGGCAGAAGATTGCAGATTTCAAGAATAGTCAGCAAGAGCCAAAGCCGTCCACACCCGCTGTCGTCGTCGTCCTCTTGTCCACCGAAGACGGTGTGATTCAAATCAGGCCCCAACAGCAGCGGCCTGATTGTCCGACAACCCAGCAGCACATCCAAGCTTTGGAATGCATCCTCCGCCATCCTGCGGGCGACGGCCATCACTGCCACAGTGAGCTCTTCTCGCTGTCTGCTTCTCAGACGCGGCATTGGAAGACGGGACACGTACGGCGGTTCTCGAGAACTGGTACCAAGAGTCCCACCGTCGCCGGCACCGCACCACCGATCTGGCCGCCGAAGCAGCACCTATGCCTACAACCCGAGTGCTATGGTTCTTTCGGATGAGATGAAAGAGTCCCACCGTCCACGGCCCCTTCCAAACCTCCCCTATCCACAAATGGAAAGGCAGAATAGAGGGCGGGCAGGACCTCCCCTCTCCACAAATGGAAACAAGTGTCCGCCTGTCGGCTGGATTGTTTCCACTCGTGTTTTTGTTCAAAGGGCTTACGCGGTGCACATGCCTCCACGTTACGCCCACATGCACGCGAAGGCCACCGACGCGCGGGCGCATTCAGATGAACCGCACAACATACACCACACAGGACCCTCGAAACAGCATGCCCGTGAAGTGTGCTGCCACCACCCCACTGTCATTATGAGGCCGTCAGAGTCACGCGGGGATTGTGCTCATTTTTGTTTTTTTCGCATTTCCGGAAAACTTTAACAGTTTTTTTTATTTTGTGAGAAAATGCAAAACGGGCGCCGCACACCGATTTACGCGTTGCATGTCGGTCCAGGCCCCTGCGCAATCAAGGATGACACGCATAAATAAAAAAATGGTCCAATTAAAAAAAAAAAAAAACGAAAAAAGAAGATGGGTGACAAACGAGACCATGGCCTCGTTCGCGATCCATGTAACCTCGCGTGTGACCGTTTTTTTTCCTCGGGGAAAGAAGTGCGTAAGTAGCCCATTCAAGATGAGAAGTGAGGAAAGGGTCCGGCAACTGTTTTTCTGATGTACTCCAATTTCAGTCTGTATATGGGACGCTGGACCCTTTTTCCAGCAGGTGATGCTCCCCACCAATAGATGGAGCCTCTACCCAGGTGCTGAAAAAAAAAAAAGAAAAAAAAAAAAAGAAAGGGCCGCTGTAACGGTTCCAGTTTGAAAATGCACGTTTCAGTCACGATGTGTCGTGAATGTTGTGCCAAACCGAGGAAAATCGTGAATGTATACAACCCAACTTTAGGGTCGGGTGGGGATGTGTGTATTCAAGGGATGCCTGAGCAAGG